GACTCCCTCAGGGGGCACCCCATAGACACAACAATTGATCATTGATCTCTTAGCCATGTGCGTTGCCCCCCTCCACCATAGTCCTCCTCGATATTATCGTAGCGGTGCTTAGGCGAAGCCCTGCGTCGGTAGAACATCATCATCGTCACCACACCGTCGTGCTGACAGAACTCTCCCTCGAAGCTCGGCTGGATCGGAGTTCGAGGGACGCCATCGAGCTAAACGTGTGCAAGAACTCGGAGGTGCCGTGCTTTCGGTGCTTGATCGGTCGGACCGTGAAGACGTACGACTACATCAACCACGTTGTGCTAACGCTTCCGCTTTCGGTCTACGAGGGTACGTGGACACACTCTCCCCTCTCGTTGCTATGCATCACCATGATCTTGCGTGTGCATAGGAATTTTTTTGAAATTACTTCGTTCCACAACAGCGCCATCCTCTGGAGCGCGTCGATGTGTAAGTGTCCGAAGCGGTCGTGTCGGCGCCATGACACGTTGTCCGTGCGCGCGGCAAGGCAGGCCAGACGTACAGGGCGAAAATGCAACTTGTACAAACGATTTTGAGATCGTTTTACCTTGAGAATGAGTGCGCCGCGTCGGTCGTGTATGGAGAGGATGCCATGGCGCATGTTGATGTCCCAGCCGTTCTAGTCGAGCTGACCGAGGCTCACGACGTTGCTCTTGAGCCTGGGGATGTGGTACACCTCCAGGAGCGCGCGCTGCGCTCCCCCGTTGACGGTGAACGCGACCGTGCCGCGCCCCTCGATCTGCACCACTGACCCGTCTTCGAACCGCACGGTTCCAGTGATGGCCGTGTCCAGGTCGGTGAAGGCCGTGCGATCGCCGGTCATGTGATTGGACGCTCCCGTGTCCAGATACCACATCGCGTCGACGACGACGTCCTCAACTGCTTGGGTGATGTGTGCCTGCTCTTCGTTGAGGAAGACTGTGGCGCGCGGCGCGTCAGAACAATCTGCAACCGCCTCCTCTGGATGCATGGGGCGTGTGAGCTTGACGACCTCAACAAGTAGCAGCTCGGGATCGCCCTCCTCATCTGCCTGAGCTAGGAGGGCATCCTCCTCCCTTTTCTTCTTCCTGCACTCTCAGGCCCAGTGCCCTTTTATGCCACAGTACCTGCATTTTTCTTTGTCCCCGCCACTCTTGTCGGGGTAGTCACCGCCGCGCCCGCCGCCGCGCCCGCCTCCGCGGCCACCACCTCCGCCTCTTCGGCGGTTGTTGCTGCCGCCCGAGGGAGGTCTCGGAGCGCGGGGTTGCGGTTGGCGGGCCTGCCACTCCTCCCAAGTGAGGAGCAGCCGCCCCCTTGGCTGTCGTTGGCTCCCTGTGCATCGTTGAGTCGGTCCTGAACGACATGCAGCCTGCCGGTGACCTTGTCCAGGGAGAGCGAGCTTATGTCCAGCAGCGTCTCAATCGCGATTGCCACCTGCGCGAACTGAGGCGGGACAACACGCAGGAACTTGGCGACTACCTTTGATTCTTCCACCGTGTCGCCGAGAGCGCGCAGGCCGGCGACGATGCCGGAAAGACGAAGCGAGAAGTCGTCGATGGTCCCATCGCGGAAGGTGATCCCCTCGAAATCACGCCGCAGTTTCTATGCGTTGGCCTCGCGTACGTGCGTGGCTCCAAGGCACTGCGTGGAGATGGCATCCCACGCCTCCTTCGCAGTCTCCTTCTCCCCCACGACGAGCAGCACGTCCGAAAGGATGCTGCGCGGGATGGTGATCATCGCGTTGCGCTCGTGGTGGTAGGAGACGTCGCCGTGAGAGACCGCGCCCCACCAGCCGTGGGCCTGAAGGTAGACCTTCATGAGCAGAGCCCACTCGGCGTAGTTGGTGCGCGTCAGCATCAGCAGTGCGCCGGCTGCGGGCGCCGGCTGCACCGACTGCTAAGCCGCTACGTCGCCTCGGCGGCGAGTCCGCCTGCGGTCCTGTGACGGCGCGCGTATGCGTGGTGGCGTCTCCGATCGGCCTGCACCGCCAGCGGGCGTCCTCGTCGCGGCCGCCGGCGTCTTCGACATGGCTATGATGCCACTTGTCACCTCTCTCTCTCTCGTTGTATTCGTTGGTCAGTTGAACACTCGAGGGTTTTGCGCAGCGTAATTGCCTGCTGCTTTTCTGCTTTCTTCTCCTTTTATTCCTTAACAAAAAACGATCGTGCCGCGGCTCCAGCGCTCCTACTGAATCGTGCCATCCCACGGTCGAGCACCTGGTCCACGACGCCTACAAACTTTTCACGGATCACACAGACCGCGTCTCGTGGGAGCTGGCATCTAACTAACCTGACGAAACTGATGAAACATGCTAACTGAACTTTTAACTGAAGAAAACAACTACTCTGACGCTAAACTGCTAGCAACAACTAGCTTACTGTGCAACACGGAGAAATGGGTCTGGGGCTCTGGGCATGCATGTGTGGGTGAACAGTGCCGCCATGATGTCGCGATATCGGCGAGCAGATCCAGCAATCATGCAGGCCGGCCAAGGTCTCCTCTTCCGGGGCGGCGCGGACGGCGATTGGCGCCAGGCAAAGCCTGCATCGCTCTATCGATCGGCGAGGGGAGGCGAGCGACGGAGCGACTGTGCGCGTGTGTGTCAGGGCGAGGGTGAGGGTGAGTGCGCGCGATGGAAGCTGGTGGGTGGGGTGCCACTGCCGCGCACGGGTAACCGGGACAAAACGCGCGTGCGCGAGGACGCCATGAGAGCCGGCACCACCACCCCGCAGGCAGGCAGGGTCCCCGCATTGGCTGCTGCCTTCTCTCTCTGATCCTTCACTTCCCTTGGCCTGCTCACCCTGCTTGCACGGTTGCAATCTCTACGGCGACTAGCACTGAACTTTGCACTGCACCGAGGAGAGCAATGCGACGGTTCGAGAGAGTTCCTACCTTAAAATATGGTTCCTTATCTGGCCTGAGAAAAATTTTCTTCCCTATTTAACATGTAATCTAAATTTCTTTCCCAATACGACACTCTAGTACATTTTGTTCACTAACGATGTTAAAGACAGACATAAAAAGACCTTTTTACCCCTGGTGCATAAGGTGACCAAAAATCTATACATGACAATATCTACAGTTATGTTACATATTTGGTCATAACCTCCCTGTAATTTGATCCCATATCTCACAAGAGAACACACTCCCACCCCTTGGTGGGCTTGCACCCGGTAGTAGCAAACCAAGCGAAGGAGGGCATTTAAATTGTTGTGCATGCCACTAATTTATCTTTTGTGAGACGGTAAGCATCCAACTACTTGCTACTAGAATCAAGGAACCGTGCATGTAGTCCTTACTTTTCAAGCATTAGAAAATACAAGGATTATTCATTGGAAAGTATATACTTCATGTTTGAGACCAAAAGTAGTATAGTTTATACGAGGAGGAAGTTAGGCAGCGTACATATGGTTGATACAGCATATATACGTCATGTCTCCAAGAGAACTGGTAGTACATATATATATACCCGTATAGTATTCAGGATGTATACTATAATCTTGAAAGATATGCAAACGATGCAGTATTCCGTTTGTGTAATATAAAATTCCCGAAAAATTAGCCTTTACGATATTTCAAGAAGTATATATTGGACGATTTTTAAGGGTATAAACTGCAAAAAAAAACAATGCAGTATTTAGAAGGGGTATATGTTGCACCATTTTTCAAGGAGTATATACTGCATGGTATTTTTAATGGGTTTATACTGCACTCTTTAAGAAGTATATACTGCATTGTATTTTTAATGGGTATATACCACTTCAGAAAGAGTTTATATGACAACAGAAGTGGTAAATTGAATCAAAAGGCTTATACTTCCTAATGGGCGACTATCAGTCCATCCAAAATAAACATGGATACAGAGAAAAAAGTCTTAGTGAAATCTCAGGTCAACACACAGGCATTACATATCCTTCATTAAAGATGGTAGTACATTCAGTTTGACTACACATGGTAACAGAGGAAAATATACTACTACAAAACTCTTGAGTAATTCTCCTTTTTTACAGAGAGAACTGATTTTCTCTTTGATCGTCCATATGATCCATACGTTAACTGTTGCTTCCATTGACCATATTGTGGTACCCTCTTGATCAATCCATGTGATCAACAAAGTGAACAGTTTTTCAGAGTTGAAGACACTTTCACCGTGGAATGATCTGAAGCAAAACAGAGAAATCATTATTGTGCTGAATAAGTATAAGCTTGCAGTACTCCAGATAAATACGCATGTAGCCAAAATACTATTACTGGTCAATGTTATACAGTTTCTACTCATTAAGGTTAACCAGAATTTGGAATTAAATTCATAGTAACCGTGAACAGAAGAAAAATCCCCATTCTGAATGTGGATTATTTGCCTGTGGGCATATGGGCATAGAATGCATCCTCACGTTCGATTGACCCAATAAAAAATAGAAGAGAAATAGTTGCCTAGCTGTACGAGGAGGTACAACACTCTATATATATGAATTGTGTAAGATATGAGATCAAATTACAGGGGAGGTTATGATCAAATATGTAACATAACTGTAGATATTGTCATGTACAGATTTTTGGTCATCTTATGCACCAGGGGTAAAAAGGTCTTTTCACGTCTGTCTTTAATACCGTTAGTGAACAAAATGCACTAGAATGTCATATTAGGAAAGAAATTTAGACTACGTGTCAAATAGGTAAGAAAAATTTCTTTAGAACCAAATAGGGAACCACATTTTTAAGGTAGCGTCAAATAAGGAATTCTCTTGTTACCTCTGTTCTCGTCCAGTCCAACGCCGTCGACCAATCCCCGTCTCGTAGCCCGCACCGGCAACCTTGTTCCTGTCCCCCACGATCACACTGCAACGAGCCACGGCGTCTCCATCTCCGGTCAGGTTCTGGTTTGGCGTATGCAAACTGTAATATTTCGTTGTGAAATCACTACCAACTTTAATTTATGAACACTGCTTAATTAACCCCATCTGCCCGTCTAGTCTAGACTACAAGGTGTCAACTCAAAAGTAGTCAAAATGGTCCTCATGTTGCTGCTTGTACGGCTCCTGCCGCTCCTTCCTGCTCATCGTCTTCGCCTTGCTCCTTGCTGCCGGCACGGGCACCTCCGGCGGCCGGACGGACCTGACGAGCGCCCAGTTCACGCCCTGGAAGAACCCGTGCCGCTTTACCTCGCCCGACCCCGTGCAGCTCCCTAGCCGCTTCCCGGGGCATTTCGCCAGGAGTCGGGCCATGAGGTCCTGCGCCCGGAGCAGCTCCTCTCGCTCCCCGCAGCTCGCCGACGCCGGGATCCGCGGGAAGGCCACTGGCCGCTTGCTGACGATGTTCGCGAGGGTCTCCTCGTTGGTCGCCCCCTTGAACGGCGTCTGGCCGTACACCATCTCGTACATGAACACCCCCAGCGTCCACCAGTCCACGGCGCTGCCGTGGCCCTGTCCGGAGATCACCTCCGGCGCCAGGTACTCGTGCGTGCCCACGAAGGACCTGGACCGGGCCGCCACAGGCTCCACCACCACCTCTGCAGGGTCAGACTCAGACGTCTGTTCGGGCTCGGAATGCTCGGCGGCGTCGGCGTCCACGGCCGCCGCACCGGGCATCGGCACCTGGCGCTTGCGTGTTACACCATTCAACAGGCATGACAGCACCGGCTGGATCGGCGGCACGCACGACGACGAGTGACCATAGGTGGAGCTCGGGTTGGCGCCGGCGCCGTCCCCTCTCGGTTGGCGGAGGAGCTTGGGGATGACGTCGTCGCACTTGAGGGAGAGGTCGAAGTCGGAGAGCATGATGTGGCCGTCGGCGCGCACCAGGACGTTCTCCGGCTTGAGGTCCCGGTACACAACCCCCATCATGTGCAGGTACTCCAGCGCCAGCACCGTCTCCGCCGCGTAGAATCTGCCGTTCATTGTTGGGCGATCGATCTCTATCAGTTCAGCCAGCGCCACACAAAGATACAGTAGATAATATGCATGTCGCCATGCATTCATGCGCAGCTCAAATCATTAGCCCAAGTGGGTTCTCAAAAGATCGGCTTAGATAAGCATGCACGGCGAGACAAAAAGTGTCTATGAAATAAAGCACCAATGCAAATGCATATGCACATTGCACATGGAAAGAAGATTACTACACTACACTAGCTCAAAGTGGTGCCATGCTTTAAAAAAAGGAGTGACACGGAGACAAAGCTTGACCCTGGAATAGAGAGAATCTCAGCTTTTCATCTCACGCGTAACCTTCAGGCCATGGGACATTCGGATCAATGTGAATGTGTGGCAAAATCAGGAAAATGGTGGTGCTTGCACAAGCACAAGCACAATGCATGCATGGAAGTTGAATGGTACCTCGCGGATGCGACGCTGAACCGGCGGCCAGGCTGGCGTTGCCGGGCGACGTGGAGGTCGCCGCCGGGGCAGAACTCCATGACGAGGCAGGCGTAGTGCGACGCCTCGAAGTCGGCGTACAGCGTGGGCAGGAAGGGGTGGTCCAGGGAGCGGAGGATCTCCCGCTCCACCTCCGCGCGCCGGAGCTTCTTGCGGAACGCCAGCGCGTCCTTGTCCACCACCTTCATGGCGTAGTAGAGGCGCCCGGACGACGACGGCTGGTGCGGCGGCTCGCGGAGCTCGCACAAGTAGACGTTTCCGAGGTCGCCGCTGCCGAGGCGCCGCACGAGGCGGAAGTGGTCCAGCCCGACGCTGCCGCCGGTGGCGGCTGCGCGGACGTGCGCGATGGCCTCCCACTCGGCATGGTTGGCTTTGTGGGGCTTGCTGTGGCGGCAGGGGGTCTCGCCGCCGCCAGAGACCGAGCTGGAGCTGCCAATGTCGCTGATCCAGCTCCGGCGGGAGCCCAGCGCCGTGAGCGACGACGGACGGCTACTGTCGTAGTCCGATTCATCTCTAACGGTAGCCATGGAAGAAGCTAGCTTGCCTCTGCCTTCCAGCACCAGCTCCCTGTGTCTATATAGGCAGGCAAGCAGCGGTGTCAGTCATGTGTGGCCAGTTGAAAAATGATTACAAAATCCACACAAGCGCTTTCAAGGATTGGAGAGCATCTAAGCCTCCGAGAGTTGATAATACCTAGGAGTAGCTTTTTCCTTTTCGCTCCACACGGATATATAGTTGCATAGATACACTGTAGGTGCCTTAATTTGTCACGATCATTTTGATGCCTAAAGTTGTAAAGTACATGAAATTCTTGTTATAACTTGTTCTAACATGCAAACACGATGAGCATCTCTAGCAGACTCCTTAAAATCGCAAACTGTAAAACTAGGATACGGGTTGAAAAAAATGCACTTTAAGGGTTCATTTTAGCTACGGCCGAACAAATACTGTAAAACTGGGATAAAGAACTCCTTCCTCAAGTCCGGCCGCTCCCGTCCCTTCTCCCAGCCGGCCGCGCCGGCCACGCCCAACCCTGCTAGCCGTGCCCCGTCCCCCGTCGGCCGCGCCCCATCGCCCGCCGGTCGCGCCCCGTCACCACGCCGACCGCGCCCAGCCTCACCGGCCACGCCCCGTCGCCTCCGCCGTCTGCGCCTTGCTCTATTACCAGCCGCGCCGGCCGAGCCGTGCCCCTTTGCCTGCCGCGTTGGGAGGATTCCGACGGCCAGGCTGAGGCCATGGGAGGCCACAGTGATGTCGACCTTGTCCAATTCGAACCGGTGGCGATCGATTGCGGCGTCTAGCAGCCTTTTCCGGTGTACGGTGATGAATTCCGGCGAGTTTAGGGCGAATTCCGGCAAACTCCGCGGCGGAGTGTTTGCTCCGACGTGGTTTGACCGGTATACGGGGCCCCTTAGGTTCGGCCTTCCAATCTCCAAATATAAGAGTTTCGGGTGTGCATTTCGGTGGCTCTTAAAAAATTTATGGATTGAATCACTTTTACGGTTTCTGTCTGGACATTTTTTTCGACCAAAACTGTAAAACGCATAAATTATGCTGATTTGACCACTTACATAGGTTCTGCTAGAGATGCTTTACATATCAGGGTGTGCACCTTGCCCACGTGGGTGCCAGCGAGGCATTGGTTTATGCGTACTCCCTCCGTCCGCGAATAAGTGTACTTCTAGCTTTTGTCTTAAGTCAAAGCTTTAAAACTTTGATCAACTTTATAGGAAAAAGTAGCAGCATTTATAGCACTAAATTAGTATCACTAGATCCGTTTTGAAATGTACTTTCATAATATATCAATTTGATGTCATATATGTTTCTACTCTTTTGTATATAGTTGGTTAAAATTTTAAAACTTTGATTTAGGACAAAAGCTAGAAGTACACTTATTCGCGGACGGAGGGAGTAAGTGCCTGGCAGCCGGTGATGTGCTGGGTGACTTGCGCGTGAGATTATTAAAAAAAATACCCCCGCATATATACATTTATTAATTAGGTTTTAGGGGATTTATTAATTAGGTAGGAAAGCCAAACAAAAAAAACAACAAAGTCGCAGGCAGTAGTTTCCAACCTGGGACATCTCGGACGCGGGTTCTACAGCCCGCTCAAACTAACCACCAGGTGAGGCTCTCTATGAAAATTACCTCTTCAAGCGTTTCTCTCTTTTCTTTAGCGGAAAGTATTTCTCTTATTATTTGATTAAATATATGGCGTGCTTATTAAAAAATACAAGTTATTTTTTATTATTTTCATGTTTATCCTTTCCTGTTACAAAAAAGAAATGTAAGAAAGTATGACAACTGCCATAAACTTAAAAAAAGTGTTAGTTCATCTGAAAAAATGTTCAACATAGTTTTAGAAAACTCTCTGGTTTTTAAAAAATGTTAGTCATGCATTCAAAAAAATGGACAACATCTATTTCAAAAAATGTTCATCATGTATTAAAAAATTATTTGGTAAAATTATTCTTATATTTATACAAACACGTTTAACATGTTTTAGCACAATTATACAATTTGTTCTTTTACACAATGATTTTAGTACACACTGAAAGGGTTTTGAAAATATAATGTTGTCGATTTTTTGATAATTATGAATCCTAAAAATACAAAGAAGATACACAAAGATTGTAAGTGTTGGTGGTCTTGAAATAAGATACAAAAAATAACAATATTTCATAATATACACTGAACTATTTAAATCCACATAAATTTTTGGAAAGTTAATGTTTACCCCTTCAAACTACACAATAATGGAAAATAAAATAAAGTTTTAAAATAGACAATAATCGCATATTGATAATTATTGAATTATTATATGAGAAAATTTATATATCATAAAAACTAAACAGTAACTTGTACAAAAAAAAGTAAATATCGTACAACGAAATTGTAGAGCAATAGGCAGAAAATCTATATAAGTTTCCAGCGAACAGTTTTATCCAAAGTACCGTTCAGCCAGTTGGCTCACGTGCAGGCAATTTAACCCGCAGGTATTGTGCTCGGTACCCGTCGAATGGTTTGTTTTGTTTTTCTTATGTTTATAATCATTAGTCAATGTGTACATGCAATGCACGTTAATTTGGAAGTATATTAAGTGCATGCGGATATTAAGTATGCAGATATTAAGTAGGATATTATTTGCGTGTTTTTATGTGATTAACACTATATTTCGCATGAAATTAACTGCACGCTAAATGTGTTGAGCGCTCGACATTGAAGCAGTCTAGATCGTTGGATTAATATGATTTGATGGCCGAGATTAATTGGATCTGCCTTTTGGGGTCTTTTTATATTGGTATAGATTAACTGCACGCTAAATGTGTTGAGCGCTCGATATTGAAGCAATCTAGATCGTTGGATTGATATGATTTGATGACCGAGATTAATTGGATCTGTCTCTTTGGGTCTTTTTATATTGGTATAGATATAGATACTGACATGTGGGATCCATGTTTGGCTTTTCTATGTAGTTAATAAAATATGCCGGGTTTTCTTGAAAAAAATATCATGCACAAGTCACCCAGCTTCTCGTTGACCGCTACCAATGACGTGCGGGCCAACGCCTAGCTGGCATGCCATGCGGATATGGCGTACACCAAGATACGTATGAAGGCACCATATTTGCATGATAAGACAAGTTATAGAACTAGTTTTTTGTATTTTACAACTTTAGGCATCAAAGTGATCGCATTGAACAAGTTAAGGCACCTGCTGTGTATTTAACTCAACCAAAATATCTAATGAATATTTTAGACATGGCAAATCAAACTTTTTTCATGGCAACATATGTTTGACGAGAATGGCAAGTTTAGTTGGCAAGTATGGCAAATCCGCGTTGGTTCATTTCTTGTCAGAAAATTGCCGTGCTTACAAACTAAATTTAACATACTCGCGCCAACATTAAATGCCATGAAAAACGGCTGATTTGCTATGCCTAAAAATCTGATGTTGTTTTTTTAGCATTTCCGTAATTATATGCATCAGTCATCCTAAAAGCTGTATGCAGCAATCATCACATCAGTAGATTAAGGCTAGCCAGTTGTCTTTGAAAAGAGGCTAGCTAGTTGGAAACTACGCTCCCTTACCAGTTTTACGTTCCCCCCCTCTGATGAGGACATCCCAAAAAATGGGCACCACACCACCAATCATCAATGGTCCAATCACAAAAAGTCGCTCAATGCAAATACATGATCAGGTGAACACTAACTTAAGTCTATCATTTGACCTTGAAAAATATGGTTGTGCTTTTATCTCCTTTGTTGTTAGTTGAACTCAGGTGTGATATCGAAGAAGGCCAAACACATTTCAGTCCATACAAAATAATGTTTTATGGCGAAGAAACAAAGTTAGGAATCCATGAAGAAATGAGTTGTCTGATGAAGAAACATTGTTCCTATTCCGACGAAACAATGTTTTGCACGAGTTTGGATATCCCAACTTGCGAAAGGTTCCCAGAACTCGAGTTTGCTGCTGAAGGAAACATTGTTCGAATCCAGTGAACAATGTTTGGTCGGGAACTGCCAACCACCTCCAACGAGAGTTTTCCAGAAGCTACCTCACTAAGTCTCGAAGCCATTTAGTCAAACCAAAGCTGGTTCTCTTTGACATCTATCTAGGGGGTTGTCCTGATTATAAATAGGCTAGTTCTTCCCTTCTTTGAGGACTTTTGCTGTTTCTATCAAAGACCAAAGACATAGACTCCTCATGAGATTGGAGAGCTCTTGTTATCCTTATTCTCGTGATTCCTTGAGAAATTGCTCCTAATTCGTGCTCCACGACTAGATCGTGTTGTGTGGGTTAGAGTTCGTGGTTTCCCTTGTGGATTGCACCTATCCCGTGCTCCACGACTTGAGCGTGGTTGTGTGGGGTAGTATTGCGGGTTGTGGATCGGCGAATGTTCGGATTGCAAGCTTCGGTGAGCATCCTCCTCGTCGGGTCATAATCTCTTATTTTCCATTTTTCGGCTGCTTGCAGCTAGTTTATCCCCATCCATTTATCGATCCTATGCCGTGAAAATCGGACCTCCCCTTGAACACCCTCTTCTACGAAGACGGTGTCGCATCATCTGGTATTCAGAGCAAGGTTTACACGGTAGGATCATATCTTTGTTGCTAGATCTATCCTTTTAAGTTTGGTTTTCCCCATCCTAGAGTCCAAAGCCAAAAAGCCACAAAAAATCCAAGCCTTTGTTTGCTGAGATCTAGTTGTTTGCTTTCCTCTTTGTGTTTGCACCAAATTCTATCCAAAGTTGCTGCTGTTTTTCTTTGAGTCTTGTTGTTGGATCTATTGTATTGCAAAAAAAGCAAAAAAAAGAGAGGAAAAAAGAGTGAAAAAAGAGAGCAAAAAAAAGAGAAGAGGAAGTGTGCAATCATATTCAGTTTGGTGAGAAATTTCAGAAGTTGAAGTGGCAAGTGTTGCAGCTCAAACATGGTGCAAGGATTTACAAATTTTTCTTGTTCATTTGGTTCGCATCGATTGGATCTCAGCACTAGCCCTTCTCTTTTTACCCCACCTAGATCC